AGACATATATAGATAAAATATACAAAGGGGATAAACAGAATAAATAGGAATAAAAATAAAAATAAAAATACAAGTGAATTGCACATTTCAAGTATGGAGTCTATTGCACCGCTGATTATTAACAAAAAAACCATGATGTATGTCAACCAGATGTGGGCCAGGTCTGGCAATGATGGCACTGTTTATGTTGTCTAAGGAGCTTGGAAAGAAAAGCGTCTGGACTTCTTTAAGTTGCCTGAAGATGTTTCACCTCTCATCTGAGAAGCTTCTTCAGTTCTAAGGTCAAATGGTGGAGAGTCCCAAATTTAAACCCAGTGGGAGTTTCCCCCTAAGAGGGACAAAGGAACCCCTGATGATCCTCTACCTAATCACATGAGCCAAGGTGCGAAAACGGGTGTGGGTCACAATCAGCCAGGGTTTTGGGTGAGCTCATTGTGAAACCTGGCCCCACCCTATCATGCGATTTCCTGAGGTCAGATGGCCCAGGGTGTGAGTGGGCGTTAAGGCGTCTGGGAAGGGAACTCAAAACTGGATTATAGATGGCAGACAGTTGGTGTTGTAAGCCACCATCTCTGTTCAAAGATGGTCGTTCACAGTGGACATAAATGGCTTCTTTCACTCCTCTTTCAAACCATCTGTCCTCTAATGTGAACATTGGCATCCTTGAAAGAGTGACCTTTGTCCTTTAGATGCAGATGGACTGTTGAGTCTTGTCCTGTGGAGGTGGCTCTTCTATGTTGTGCCATTCGCATGTGAAGTGGCTGTTTGGTCTCTCCAATGTAGAGGTCTGGGCATTCCTACACTGTACAGCATACACCACATTGTTAAGTTTGTGTTTTGGAGTTTTGTCTTTTGGGTGAACTAGTTTTTGTCTGAGTGTTTTGCTGGGTCTGAAATGCACTGGGATGTTGTGCTTGGAGAAAACTCTCCAAGCACAACATCTCTGATACAGTATTTTCTGATACACTGGCACTGTTTATGTTCCTATTTTCCTATTTTAGTTAGAAGACCCAAATGAAAGGGTTGCTAAACACCTTGAGTAATCCGGGAGAGTAGAAAAGCGGAATATAAGAATCAGTCCATTCAGTGTTTAAATAGAGTTTTGTCATGTTACTTTTGCACTAATATGTTCCGGCACATGTTGTTATTAAATGGTTTGATTACGGTACACATTAGGCTGACATCTGGGGCCAGAGTTGAAACTGTTCTGGGCCAGCACAGGACCAGCGGTGTGTCTGCAACTGGCCTTGTTCTGGCCCATGTGTAGGCCACATCTGGCAAACCAGATCTCGGCCACCAAAGGGCCGTCATGTCTTTGCGGTATGTGGGACGTGTGTAAGCACATTGTGTGGGCCAGATCAGGACCATACCAATTTTGCTGTGGTTTCAGGTCATGGAGGCAGGAGTCTAAGCAGAGAAGCAAATGAAATCTAAGTCAACAAAATCATTTACTGGGTTTTGGAAAGTGTGTTTGCTTAAACCAATAAATAAATAAATATGCAACTCATTGCTTAATGTTCCCAAAAGTGTGCTAAAAATCGGCTTAAGATGTTTAACACATCTCATCTCAAAATTAGTCAACACTATAGCCCTCTAGGTTTAAACAGGTTTAAAAGCAGAGCTAATCAGTGGTGAGGGATATTTATTTTTGTTCTTTTTATTATATATGCTGTCTCGGCCCAGTGTAGTCAATGGAATGGAGATTTCATCATTTTACTTGCTTTACCCAATAAAATATAGTTCTCTCACTTTTTGTGTCGTAAGTGATGTAAGCTGTTGGACTCTGAGACTGTGTTTTATTTTGAACTGAAACCTGATTTGTATATTTAGAAGGGTGCACTCAGGTAAGACTTTAAGGTAACCACTGCAATTGTGAAACAAAGTTGTTACCGGCAAACTGTTGGTACCAAAGAGAAACTTTTATTTGAAGTATTTCCCTTCTTTTCTTCCCCATCCCCGACTGCCTCCCCCTTCCCGCTCCACCACACCTACCCACACAAGTAGGGCCTTGAGGTGCAGGTGTGTCACCGGGGTGCAGGGGAGGCATCCCCCCCCGTCCCCGTCCCCTTCTGGCCACCTGTGCTTCAATTTTATTCCACAACTTAGACATTCACATCACTCACACTCTCATAACACATACATATAGGGCTTTGAGGGTGGGCACGTTAACGGCGTTCAGA